GGGGGACTGAAACGTTGAGTGGCCAAGCGGAACCGCATCAAACACAGCCTCGAACATAAACAAAAAAAACATAACCCGGATTGGGTTATTTTTTTTAGTTAGGCCACGTAATGATGTGGCCTAAATTGTGTCATGAATCCTTCCGCCACCCGACATTGGCCAAAAAAAATGTTACCTGTCACATGCATCAATAAGCCTCCGCCGGAGAGAGAAAGCCAGGATGTTCGAGCGAGAGTGGCTTATTAATTTGCGTAGTTCCGCGTGAGATGAATTGTTGCACTCCTGGCAAACGCAATCACGTGAATCACATGCACCTTTGCATTCTCACCCAGCACACTTGCATTATACACACTTGCTTATTACACACTTGCTTTACACACACTTGCATCATACACACTTAATTTATACACACTTGCTTTACACACACTTGCATCATACACACTTAATTTATACACAATTGCTTTATACAAACTTGCATTATACACACTCGATTTATACACAATTGCTTAATACAAACTTGCATTATACACACTCGATTTATACACAATTTCTTAATACAAACTTGCATTATACACACTCGATTTATACACAATTGCTTTATACAAACTTGCATTATACACACTCGATTTATACACAATTTCGTAATACACAATTGCTGTATGCACAATTGCATTATACACATTTACTTTATACATAATTACTGTATACACAATTGATTTATACACAATAGCTTTATACAAACTTACATTATGCACACTTACGTTATACACATTTGATTTATACACGATTACGTTATACACAATTTCATTATACATACTTTATTTATACACAATTGCTTTATACACAATTGCATTATACACAATTGCCTCATTTCTCAAAATAATAAACGTCCGTCACGTCCGCTTGATGTATTTTTGCCCTGCAAAGAATGGTTCACCATCGCATTCGTCCCAAACGGCATCTGATGGTTATCACAGCTTGACAAATTATCCACTGTTTACTTTAAATTAGAAAAAAACCACACAACTCCTGTATATGTGCGTATAAGAATAATTTTCATGAAACTGACGAAACATTACTTTGAGGATATTCATTTCCCGCACATTGGTGCAAATGAAATTACGGTAAGGTGATATTTCATCCACTTTCCTAATAACAAGCCCGAGTATTCGTGTCTCTCTCTCTCTCTATGTCTCTACATGCCTGTGCATAATTAATCACGCGCGCTCACTCTCACGCTCAGAGGATCATTGTGATTGTGACAAAGACGAAGATTAATTGGCGCTCATTTTTCTGCAGACGGGCAATTTACGGAATTGTGACTGGCAAGAACCGGCAAGAGACGCACGTAAAAAGACCACGTGATTCTGGTGCAATATATATAATGCCTTCTAGGGAGACTTTTATTTTTTTTCTCGTGACTTTTTAACAATTTTAGCTCGGGTTACATTAACATAGCCACTTCCGTACCCAGTTACACGCTAATCTCTCACATTAACATCACTAGACCCAGCTACTTACTCCTTTATAACTTTTTAAAACAGTCTGCATCAGCAGCAGACCATGCTTTCCCACCTGATGACGGACGCTAGTGTTGCGCCCGAAACGTCGTGATTTATTTTATTTTATTTTTATACCCACGTGACTTTACCCAAAGAGCCAAAGAGTATGGATTCCTGCAGTCACGAAAGCTTCAAATCAAGATTATCTCGGGTTGCACGATTGTGCCATCACGCGGGACGAGGACTCCATGCAGATCTCCGGCAGGGCAAGAGCAACCACCCTCCGTGTTCGAGAACGGCCCACAAAAGTGGATATCACAGAGCCACCGCTGAGACCCCTTGCCTTCAAATTGACCTCTTCATCCACAGAGCGATGGGCAGCACTTGTCTAACCGCGCTCGCTTTTGCAACGACAATAATGATCGTCGCGTGAGCGAAACTGGGTTACGTTAATCGTCAGAGCTCGGAAATTCTAGACAAATTAAGTGCGGGACCAAATTTAATGCGATGTGTCATTGGTGACAGGGCTGTGACCATACACTCGCTACACTTGAGAACTCGGTTTTATTACAGGCGTCTGAGACCTAGAATTGAACCTAGGAACATCAGCAGTGCCGGCATCAGCACTTTGACCTGAACGACAAGTACACATCGTTGTATTATACTGTGCTCCAATATCTATGCTCCCTGCCTTCACTAACCCGCATTGACCTGGGCGAAGAACGGCCAAGCATCGTGGCGTGGAAAAAAAACCTCGTCCAGCAGTGGACTGACATGAGGCACAGCACGTGTGCACGTGCACACTGCACAAAAGCAATATGATTTGGTAGAGGAGGAAAAATAATCGCGGCGATTTCCTGGGGTTGCCCCCAGCCTCTCTCTCTCTTCTGGGGTGCTAACTCGGTGACTCCCTAAGCCATCGAGCCGACCCTGAGGCCACGTGCAGTGGCTCGGGTTGGACACGCTTGGAACCGATGCCCCGATGCGTCGCAGCGGTGGGCACGCTAATGAGGACATACCTAAGGGGGGAGGTCGTATGCCTCCTAAGTCCTGTTGACAGCTCCCCGGACCTGTACATGGCTCTCTACCACACGTGGAGATGCAGGGAAAGCCACTTAGCGATGAAAGTCGTTGAGCTGCTACGGTTTCCTTTGTGGGACTCCTACGAGCCCCCCTCCCCCACTGCACCCCCCCCCCCCTGGCTTTAACCCTCAACATGAATTGGGCACGACCGTTGTTTCAACTCCTCCACACTGTGTTAAAGCACCACCGCACTGTAGGTCACAACAACTCGCTCATTAGCTCACCTAACCACGCAGCCACTCAGCCACTAACCTAACCACTGACCCACCCACTCAACCACTCACCGACTAACTCACCCACCCACGCAACCACTGACCCACCCACTCAACCGCTCACCTACTCACTCACCCACCCACGCAGCCACTCACCTACCCACTGACCCAGCCACTAAACCACTCACCTACTCACTCACCTACCCACTCACCACTCACCTACCCACTCACCCACCCGCTCACTTCACCGCAGGTCACACCACTTCTCTTTCTGCTTCTTCCCTCCCACTGCTCCACTTTGGAAACCCCTCGTCCCATCATCATCATCTCTTTCACTTCGCTCAATAAACAAAAACCTGTTAAACCCTTACCGATTACGACTTTGACAGATCTCTTCGTTGCTGGATTCTTGACGATTTGGGGGCTTTGGGCTTGTGCTCAGCAACCTTGACGTTGAGTTTCCATTGAAGGAACTGACTGCGTTACGTTGAGCACCTTCAATCAATCGATCGATGGCGCCATCTCTTCCGAGCATCGCTTTTTACACCTTCGCCATTCGTATCGAACATTCGGCGTTGATCTTCCTCGCGAGTGGCGAAGTCGAAAAAATTTCGTAATGGAGGTTTTTTTTTTTGGGAGGGGAGGGGGGGGGAAGGGGTTGTAACGCGTGAAAAAAAAATGTGTCGTTAAACCCGCCACCACCCGACACAGCCAATTATCAAGGCTTGTCGCGTAAACAGAACGCTTGCGCCAATTCGTTACTAGCTCGGCACACGCCGGTTTGTGCGTTGGTGAGTAAACCCGCGACAACATTTACATTCCGACTACCGTGACGTTTCGCCGGTAGTTACAACAACGAGCATCATCAGGCGACAGCCAGGAATTGTGGATCAATCCTCGGTCTTAAATAGACGGGGGGGGCGGGGGGGGGGGATAAATGTGATGTAGTCACTTGCGAAACAATCATGCGCGAAGACCAGAGGGATGGCAGGGTTAAACGCTCGTCCCAACGTCCAAACTTCAGAGCTTCCTCCTTTCATTTCCCACTCCAAGCTGCTGGTCCCGTTGCCCTGCTCCTGAACCCAACTGCGGCAGCAGCAGCAGCAGCCGTAGCGCCTCTCGATCTTGCAGGCAAAGCGGCATTGCAAGCGCCACAAACGTGACCGTTGTTAGCGCGTGGCTTAAGCCAATGTCGCTACCCCAGTTCACTTCTGGGCCACGTTTTGCGTGCGCTACGAGGCAGACGCATTCCCGACTCGCTGTCAATGTCCACTGCGATGTGCGTATCCGGCTCGCGGGATTAATGTTGTGTGCGTGTGTGTATATGAAGCGGTGATTCTTCATGGGGCTTATAGAAACGACTGGCGCGGTGTGAGGGCACCTTGAAGGGTCGTTCAAATATTAGGCACGAGGAAATTAAATCGCTTGAATTATTCAAACAGCCCCGGGTTTGTCGGCTAAAATTCGTCAACATTCGGGAAGAAGAAAAACAACAACAGCAGCAGCAGCAGTGTCACTCGAGGGTGTCTCAGATACGGGGGAAGATCACACTCAATAGGCACACACCCCGACAGGCAGCTATACGAGCAGTCCAACACAGGCGTGGAGGGAAACAGGAGCTCTGGCGGGTGATGGGGGTGCGTGGGGCGAGTGGGTGGAATGAGTGAGTGTGCGGGTGAGTCTTGTACAGGTATGCAATGTTGAACTTCGTTCGCACCGTACGTAGCCAACCGTGCTAATCGGAGGTGCGGGGGAAGGACAACAAACAAGAACACAACAGGCAGGAGTGGATCGCTGAGCGGGTGGGTGAGTCGGCGAGGTGCGTGGGCGAGTGGGTGGGCGTGTGGGTGGGTGAGTGAGTCGGCGAGTGGGTGGGTGAGTGAGTCGGCGAGGTGCGTGGGCGAGTGGGTGGGCGAGTGGGTAGGTGAGTGGGTGGGTGAGTCGGCGAGGTGCGTGGGCGAGTGGGTGGGCGAGTGGGTGGGCGAGTGGGTGGGCGAGTGAGTCGGCGAGGTGCGTGGGCGAGTGCGTGGGCGAGTGGGTGGGCGAGTGGGTGGGCGAGTGGGTGGGCGAGTGGGTGGGCGAGTGGGTGGGCGAGTGCGCAAACGAGAGTGGAGGATGGTGGGTGGGTGGTTTGGGCGTGAAAGTGAATTTGCAGACGAGTCGGTTGAGTGTTGTGAGTGAGCCAGTTGGTTGAGTTGGGTGTATAGTGAGTGGGTGAATGAGCGAGTGAATGAGCGAGCCGGTGAGTTGAGGCTGCGTGCGAATGGCGCTGGCGGTGTGGGTACGCAGTGATAGGGGGGTGCGACAGGGATGACGGGGAGGCAGCGAGAAGCAGTCTGCTTCGGGACAGGTGTGTGTGTGTGCCGTTCTGATCCCTCCCTCTGCTCGCTCTCTCGCTCTCCCTCCCTCTCACCCGCTCTCAACCCCCCCCCCCCCACCTCTCTCTGTCTCTCAGTGTACTAGCCAGCGCTCAATCGTAACAAGGCAATCGCACGAGTCTAGCATAGCAGCTTTTAAGTCATACACAGCGCGGTCATCGCCATATAATACACCACCACCACCACGACGCGGAGCAGGAAGTACTCCACTCGGAGCCAGGCCAATGAATACATTTTCTCTTCGCTCGTGCGCGCGCGCGCAGACACGCGCACGTGCTGGCAGTATTTTGTTTGTATGTAATTTTTAAACGCGGTCTATCTGGCTCGTTCTAAAAATTCCCGGCGTTAGCTTCCCCCGTCCGTCTCCTCCCTTTACCTCCACCACCGACGCCGCCACCAAGTCCAGCAGCAGCATCAGCAGCATCAGCAGCAGCGTCAAGCAAGCAGCAGTACCATCACCATCATCAGCAGCAGCAGCATCCGTTCCCGCTCGCCGTGACTGCTGCTGCTGCCGCTGCTGCTAGCGGCTGCTCCCGCTGAGGCTCGAAGGGGGTCGTCATGCCCGGCCGATTCGGTCTCCTGGCGGCGCTTCTGCTGCTGGGAGCGATGCTCTTCGTGGAGCATCAGATCAGGAAGCTGGAGCAGGCGAGGGCCAAGCTGGGTGAGCGAGCAAAAGACGCGTCTCTGTCTGTGCCTCGCGGTGTCTCTGTCTGCGCGTCTCGCCACGAACCTCCGCTCGCTGTGTGTGTCTCGCTGTGTGTGTGTCTGGTGTGTGTGTCTGCTGTGCGTGTGTGTCTCGCTGTGCGTGTGTGTCTCGCTGTGCGTGTGTGTCTCGCTGTGTGTGTGTCTCGCTGTGTGCGTGTGTGTGTCTCACTGTGTGTGTCTCACTGTGTGTGTCTCGCTGTGTGTGTGTCGCTGTGTGTGTGTCTGCTGTGTGTGTGTCACGCTGTGTGTGTGTCTCGCTGTGTGTGTGTCTCACTGTGTGTGTCTCGCTGTGTGTGTGTCGCTGTGTGTGTGTGTCTCGCTGTGCGTGTGTGTCTCGCTGTGTGTGTCTCACTGTGTGTGTGTGTCTCGCTGTGTGTGTGTGTGTCACTGTGTGTGTCTCACTGTGTGTGTCTCGCTGTGTGTGTGTCTCGCTGTGTGTGTGTCTCGCTGTGTGTGTGTCTCGCTGTGTGTGTGTGTGTCTCGCTGTGTGTGTGTCGCTGTGTGTGTGTGTGTCTCGCTGTGTGTGTGTCTCGCTGTGTGTGTGTCTCACTGTGTGTGTGTCTCGCTGTGTGTGTGTGTCGCTGTGTGTGTGTCGCTGTGTGTGTGTGTGTGTGTCTCGCTGTGTGTGTGTCTCGCTGTGTGTGTGTGTGTCTCGCTGTGTGTGTGTCGCTGTGTGTGTGTCGCTGTGTGTGTGTCGCTGTGTGTGTGTGTGTGTCTCGCTGTGTGTGTGTCTCGCTGTGTGTGTCTCGCTGTGTGTGTGTCGCTGTGTGTGTGTGTGTCTCGCTGTGTGTGTGTCTCGCTGTGTGTGTGTGTCTCGCTGTGTGTGTGTCGCTGTGTGTGTGTGTGTGTCGCTGTGTGTGTGTCTCGCTGTGTGTGTGTCGCTGTGTGTGTGTGTGTGTCTCGCTGTGTGTGTCTCGCTGTGTGTGTGTCGCTGTGTGTGTGTGTGTGTCGCTGTGTGTGTGTGTCTCGCTGTGTGTGTGTGTGTCGCTGTGTGTGTGTCTCGCTGTGTGTGTGTCGCTGTGTGTGTGTGTGTCTCGCTGTGTGTGTGTCTCGCTGTGTGTGTGTCTCGCTGTGTGTGTGTGTGTCTCACTGTGTGTGTGTCTCGCTGTGTGTGTCTCACTGTGTGTGTGTCTCGCTGTGTGTGTGTGTGTCTCGCTGTGTGTGTGTCTCGCTGTGTGTGTGTGTGTCTCGCTGTGTGTGTGTGTGTCTCACTGTGTGTGTGTCTCGCTGTGTGTGTGTCTCGCTGTGTGTGTCTCGCTGTGTGTGTGTGTCTCACTGTGTGTGTGTCTCGCTGTGTGTGTGTCTCGCTGTGTGTGTTTCTCGCTGTGTGTGTGTGTCTCGCTGTGTGTGTGTGTGTCTCGCTGTGTGTGTGTCTCACTGTGTGTGTGTCTCGCTGTGTGTGTGTCTCACTGTGTGTGTGTCTCACTGTGTGTGTGTGTCTCGCTGTGTGTGTGTCTCACTGTGTGTGTGTCTCGCTGTGTGTGTGTCTCGCTGTGTGTGTGTCTGCTGTGTGTGTCTCGCTGTGTGTGTCTCGCTGTGTGTGTGTGTCTCGCTGTGTGTGTGTGTCTCGCTGTGTGTGTGTCTCGCTGTGTGTGTGTCTCGCTGTGTGTGTGTCTGCTGTGTGTGTGTCTCACTGTGTGTGTGTGTGTCTCGCTGTGTGTGTGTCTCACTGTGTGTGTGTCTCGCTGTGTGTGTGTCTCGCTGTGTGTGTGTCTCGCTGTGTGTGTGTCTGCTGTGTGTGTCTCGCTGTGTGTGTCTCGCTGTGTGTGTGTGTCTCGCTGTGTGTGTGTCTCGCTGTGTGTGTGTCTCGCTGTGTGTGTGTCTGCTGTGTGTGTCTCGCTGTGTGTGTCTCGCTGTGTGTGTGTCTCGCTGTGTGTGTGTCTCGCTGTGTGTGTCTCGCTGTGTGTGTGTCTCGCTGTGTGTGTGTCTCGCTGTGTGTGTGTCTCGCTGTGTGTGTGTCTCGCTGTGTGTCTCGCTGTGTGTGTGTCTCGCTGTGTGTGTGTCTCGCTGTGTGTGTGTCTCGCTGTGTGTGTGTCTCGCTGTGTGTGTGTCTGCTGTGTGTGTCTCGCTGTGTGTGTGTCTCGCTGTGTGTGTGTCTCGCTGTGTGTGTGTGTGTCTCGCTGTGTGTGTGTCTCGCTGTGTGTGTGTCTCGCTGTGTGTGTGTCTGCTGTGTGTGTCTCACTGTGTGTGTGTGTCTCGCTGTGTGTGTGTCTCGCTGTGTGTGTGTCTCGCTGTGTGTGTGTGTGTCTCGCTGTGTGTGTTGTCTCACTGTGTGTGTGTCTCGCTGTGTGTGTGTCTCGCTGTGTGTGTGTCTCGCTGTGTGTGTGTCTCGCTGTGTGTGTCTCGCTGTGTGTGTGTCTCGCTGTGTGTGTGTCTCGCTGTGTGTGTGTGTCTCGCTGTGTGTGTGTGTCTCGCTGTGTGTGTGTGTCTCGCTGTGTGTGTGTCTCACTGTGTGTGTCTCGCTGTGTGTGTGTGTCTCGCTGTGTGTGTGTCTCGCTGTGTGTGTGTCTCACTGTGTGTGTGTCTCGCTGTGTGTGTCTCGCTGTGTGTGTGTGTCTCGCTGTGTGTGTGTCTCGCTGTGTGTGTGTCTCACTGTGTGTGTGTCTCGCTGTGTGTGTGTGTCTCGCTGTGTGTGTGTCTCACTGTGTGTGTGTCTCGCTGTGTGTGTGTCTCACTGTGTGTGTCTCGCTGTGTGTGTGTGTCTCACTGTGTGTGTGTCTCACTGTGTGTGTGTCTCGCTGTGTGTGTGTCTCGCTGTGTGTGTGTGTGTCTCACTGTGTGTGTGTCTCACTGTGTGTGTGTCTCGCTGTGTGTGTGTCTCGCTGTGTGTGTGTCGCTGTGTGTGTGTGTCTCGCTGTGTGTGTGTCTCGCTGTGTGTGTGTGTCTCGCTGTGTGTGTGTCTCGCTGTGTGTGTGTGTGTCTCGCTGTGTGTGTCTGCTGTGTGTGTGTGTCTCGCTGTGTGTGTGTCTCACTGTGTGTGTGTCTCGTTGTGTGTGTGTCTCGCTGTGTGTGTGTCTCGCTGTGTGTGTGTCTCGCTGTGTGTGTGTCTCACTGTGTGTGTCTCACTGTGTGTGTGTGTCTCGCTGTGTGTGTCTCGCTGTGTGTGTGTCTCGCTGTGTGTGTGTGTCTCGCTGTGTGTGTGTATCACTGTGTCTCACTGTGTGTGTGTGTCTCGCTGTGTGTGTGTCTCACTGTGTGTGTGTGTCTCGCTGTGTGTGTGTGTCTCACTGTGTGTGTGTGTCTCGCTGTGTGTGTGTCTCGCTGTGTGTGTGTCTCACTGTGTGTGTGTCTCGCTGTGTGTGTGTGTCTCGCTGTGTGTGTGTCTCGCTGTGTGTGTGTGTCTCGCTGTGTGTGTCTCGCTGTGTGTGTGTGTCTCACTGTGTGTGTCTCACTGTGTGTGTCTCGCTGTGTGTGTGTGTGTCTCGCTGTGTGTGTGTTTCGCTGTGTGTGTGTCTCGCTGTGTGTGTGTCTCGCTGTGTGTGTGTGTGTCTCGCTGTGTGTTTGTGTGTCTCGCTGTGTGTGTGTCTCGCTGTGTGTGTGTCTCGCTGTGTGTGTGTGTGTCTCGCTGTGTGTGTCTCGCTGTGTGTGTGTCTGCTGTGTGTGTGTGTCTCACTGTGTGTGTGTCTGCTGTGTGTGTGTATCTCACTGTGTGTGTGTCTCACTGTGTGTGTGTCTCGCTGTGTGTGTGTGTCTCGCTGTGTGTGTGTGTCTCGCTGTGTGTGTGTGTCTCGCTGTGTGTGTGTCTCGCTGTGTGTGTGTGTCTCGCTGTGTGTGTGTGTCTCGCTGTGTGTGTGTCTGCTGTGTGTGTGTGTCTCACTGTGTGTGTGTCTCGCTGTGTGTGTGTGTCTCGCTGTGTGTGTGTGTCTCGCTGTGTGTGTGTGTCTCGCTGTGTGTGTGTGTCTCGCTGTGTGTGTCTCGCTGTGTGTGTGTGTGTCTCGCTGTGTGTGTGTGTGTCTCGCTGTGTGTGTCTCGCTGTGTGTGTGTCTGCTGTGTGTGTGTCTCACTGTGTGTGTGTCTCGCTGTGTGTGTGTGTCTCGCTGTGTGTGTGTCTCGCTGTGTGTGTGTCTCGCTGTGTGTGTGTATCTCACTGTGTGTGTGTCTCGCTGTGTGTGTGTGTCTCGCTGTGTGTGTGTGTCTCGCTGTGTGTGTGTGTCTTGCTGTGTGTGTGTGTCTCGCTGTGTGTGTGTCTCACTGTGTGTGTGTGTCTCGCTGTGTGTGTGTGTGTCTCGCTGTGTGTGTGTCTCGCTGTGTGTGTGTCTCGCTGTGTGTGTTGTGTGTCTCGCTGTGTGTGTCTCGCTGTGTGTGTGTGGTGTCTCGCTGTGTGTGTGTGTGTCTCGCTGTGTGTGTGTGTGTCTCGCTGTGTGTGTGTGTCTCGCTGTGTGTGTGTGTCTGCTGTGCGTGTGTCTCGCTGTGTGTGTGTCTCGCTGTGTGTGTGTCTCGCTGTGTGTGTGTGTCTCACTGTGTGTGTGTCTCGCTGTGTGTGTGTCTCACTGTGTGTGTGTGTCTCGCTGTGTGTGTGTCTCGCTGTGTGTGTGTGTGTCTCGCGGTGTGTGTGTGTCTCGCTGTGTGTGTGTCTCGCTGTGTGTGTGTCTCGCTGTGTGTGTGTGTGTCTCGCTGTGTGTGTGTCTCGCTGTGTGTGTGTGTCTCGCTGTGTGTGTGTCTCGCTGTGTGTGTGTCTCGCTGTGTGTGTGTCTCGCTGTGTGTGTGTGTCTCGCTGTGTGTGTGTCTCGCTGTGTGTGTGTGTCTCGCTGTGTGTGTGTCTCGCTGTGTGTGTGTGTCTCGCTGTGTGTGTGTCTCGCTGTGTGTGTGTGTCTCGCTGTGTGTGTGTGTGTCTCGCTGTGTGTGTGTGTGTGTCTCGCTGTGTGTGTGTGTGTCTCGCTGTGTGTGTGTGTGTCTCGCTGTGTGTGTGTCTCGCTGTGTGTGTGTCTCGCTGTGTGTGTGTGTCTCGCTGTGTGT